TAGATTTTGTCCTGTCAGCCGTGGTTGCTTTTGCCCTTTCGCAGCCCTGTAGGTATGATATTGTCCTGTCAGACGTCCTGTAGGTATGATATTGTCCTGCCAGTCCTGTAGGTATGATTTGTCCTGCCAGTCCTGTAGGTATGATATTGTCCTGCCAGTCCTGTAGGTATTATAATTGTCCTGTCAGTCCTGAAAGGGTATGATATTGCCTGTCAGTCCTGTAGGTATGAATTGTCCTGTCAGTCCTGGTAGGTATGATATTGTCCTGCCAGCCCTGTAGGTTGATATGTCCTGCTCAGTCCTGTAGGTATGATATTGTCCTGCCATTTCCTGTGGGTAGATGTCTGTCAGCCTTAGTATGATTTCCTGTCAGTCCTGTAGGTATGATATTTCCTGCCATTGTAGGTATGATATTGCCCTGCAGTCCTGTAGGTATGTATTGTTTGTCCTGTCAGCCCGTAGGTATGATAATTGTCCCCTGCCAGTCCTGTAGGTATGTATTGTCCTGTCAGTCCTGTAGGTATATATTGCCCTGCCAGTCCTTAGGTATGATATTGTCCGTCAGTCCCTGTAGGTATGATATTGTCCTGTCAGTCGTGTATGGATATTGTCCTTGGCCCGGCTGTAGGTAGATATGTCCTGTCAGTCCTGTAGGTATGATATTGTCCTGCCAGTCGTAGGTATGATTGTCTGCCGTCCTGTAGGTTTTGATTATGTCCTGTCGTCTGTAGGTATGAATTGCCCAGAAGTCCTGTAGGTATGATATTGTCCTGTCAGTCCTGTAGGTTGATATTGTCCTGTCAGTCTGTAGGTATGATATTGCCTGCCAGTCCGGGTAGGTATGATATTGTCGTCAGTACAGTCCGTGGGTATGATTTTGGTCCTGCAGCCCTTAGGTATGATATTGTCCTGCCAGTCGTAGGTATGATTTTGGTCTGTCAGTACGGCGGGAGGTATGAATTCCTTAGTAAGTCCTGTAGGTAATTAGTCCTGCAGTCCTGTAGGTATATTGCTTCAGTCCGAAAGGTATGATATGTCCTGTCAGTCAGTCTTAGGTATGTATTGCCGTCAGTACAGTCCGTAGGTATAATGCCTGCAGTCCGTAGGTATGATATTGTCCTCCAGCCTATTTTATGAATGTCCGTCAGCCTGTAGGTTGATATTGTCCGCAGTCCTGTGGGTATGATATTGTCCTTTCATCCTGTAGTATGTATTGTCCTGTCAGTACAAGCCCTGTAGGTATGATATTGTCCTGTCAGCCCTGTAGGTATGATATTGTCCTGTCAGTACAGTCCTGTAGGATGATATTGTCCTGTCAGTACAGCCCTGTAGGTATGATATTGTCCTGTCAGTCCTATAGGTATGATATTGTCCTGTCAGTCCTGTAGGTATGATATTGTCCTGCCAGTCCTGTAGGTATGATATTGTCCTGTCAGTCCTGTAGGTATGTATTGTCCTGCGGTCAGTCCGTAGGTATGATATTGCCCTTTGTCAGTCCTTAGGTATGATATTGTCCTGTCAGTACAGTCTGTAGGTATGATATTGCCCTGTCAGTCCTGTAGGTTATGATATTGTCCTGCCAGTCCTGTAGGTATGATTGTTCCTGTCAGTCCTGTAGGTATGATATTTCCTGTCAGTCAGTCCTGTAGGTATGATATTGTCCTGTCAGTCCTGTAGGTATGATATTGCCCTGCCAGTCCGGGTAGGTATGATATTGCCTTTGTCAGTCCTGTAGGTATGATATTGCCCTGTCAGTCCTGTAGGTATGATATTGTCCTGTCAGTCCTGTAGTTTTATGATATTGTCCTGTCAGTCCTGTAGGTATGATATTGTCCTGTCAGCCCTGTAGGTATGATATTGTCCGCCAGTCCTATAGGTATGATATGTCCTGCCAGTCCTGTAGGTATGATATTGCTGCCAGTCCTGTGGGGTAGATATTGTCCTGTCGTCCTGTAGTATGATATTGTCCTGTCAGCCCTGTGGGTAGGATATGTCCTGCCCAGCCCTGTAGGTATGATATTGTCCTGTCAGCCCTGAGGTATGATATTGTCCTGTCAGTCCTGTAGGTATGATATTGTCCTGCAGTCCTATAGGTATGATATGTCCTGCCAGTTCTGTGGGTTTGATATTGTCCTGCAAGTCCTGTAGGTATGAATTGTCTGCCAGTCCTATAGGTATGTATTTCCTGTCAGTCTGAGGATGATATTGTCCTGCCAGCCTGAGGTATGATATTTCCTGCCATTTCCTATAGGTATGATATTGTCCTGCAGCCCTGTAGGATGATATGTCCCCGGGCCAGTCTGTAGGGGGGTGATATTGTCTGGCAGTCCTGTAGGTATATATTTTTCCTGCCAGTCTGTAGGTATGATATTGCCCTGCCAGTACAGCCCTTTGTAGATTTCAAACATTGTGAGTGGTGGAGGACTCAGGTCCCTCAGCAGCACCCAGGTTCTAAGCCATTTCAACGTACTAATAACTAGCATGGGGGAGCTCCAGCTTTCTACCAAAGATCTAGGATCATGTATAGATGGCTCCATAACATGGCTTTGTCATATTACTGATGTGGTGGAAATGGGTTTTCATTCAACGCACCCACATTAAAGTATCTATTGTTTCTTCTTTAACTGGTTTATTTGGGGTTATCTACCTCTCCAATCAACTTCTCTTCCATCCGCTCTCTTCCCTCCGTCTCTTTTCCTCCTTCCCCACGCGCGAGCGAGCACACACGATCGCGCGGCGCTATGCGCGATATCGGGCGAACTCTCCTAGAGAGGCGATGAGAGGGACCACCAGAGGAGATGAGAAGGAGATCCAATACTGAGATCTCTCTCTCTCTTTCTTGTCTCGAGAGAGAGAGAGAGAGCGCCCCCGCTCTCTATATCTAGCTTCTCTCTCTGCCTCTCCTTCACCCTTCTCCATCCCTCTCTCTCTCCCTCTCCCGCTGGCTCGGCTCGGCTGTTCCCTCTCTCTCTCTCTCTCTTCTCTCTCCCTCTCTTCATCTCAAATGAGATGTGCGTTATAAATTAATACCACTAGGGGGAGTCAATCCAAGCAAATGAGACACTTTTTAGTTTCACATGGTTGAATACCAGTAGATTTATTTACAAGGTTGAAATCTGAGCATGACTTTCTCACATAGGCCTAGTGTGTGTTCCAAATGGCACCTTATTCCCTACAGAGTGCACTACTTTGACCACTACGTTGTGCTATAAAGGAAATAGGGTGCATTTTAGGATGCAGTCCTAGTTCAAGACAAGGCTGATTACCTACTAAAATCACAAGATGCAGGGACGGATGGACTGGATTGGTTTACAAGTAACAAAAGGCTGTTTCTCACATAGTATTGGGTTTACGACTGATTGGATTTGTCCTTCCTGATTCCCTCCTGAAAATCACGAGATTTAGAAAACTCCTCATTTTTCGATATTCAAATTGTATTTTATTTTGATAATCAAAAGGCAGACAGATATTTGCTATAAAAAGCATTCACTTAAACAATACATTAAACATGATGTGTAAAGACAAAAACAGTGATTTTAAGATGATCATTTTTAACACAACTATTGTTCACCTGTCAAACACAATAACGTCCTAATTTATATTTATTTAAAAAAGTATAATATTTTATAAAACAATAAATATTAATGTAAGTAAATATAACTTAAGAAAAACATTTATTAAGAAAATACACTTTTCCTATTTAAATACAGAAATACTGCTAAAATCCTATATCGAGTAGATATGTTTCAAAGCTTTGATAATTGCATTCTTCTTGACATAGGAGAGACGTATCTATTGTAAGGGCTAGATGAAGTCTAGTCCTGGACCAAAGATAACTTTTAATGGAGATACTCGACTCAGTATGCTTTCCATCCAGTAATTTATGTGCAAAGATACTGCATCAAAACATTGCTATGGTAGGGGTTTTGATTGAATCCCCCAGTACAGGAGGTATGCAGGTAAAGGTACAATGCTGAAAGGTAACAGACCTGCAGGAGTTTCTCATCATTACAGGTCAATCAGTCAGGAGAGCCAGGAGCCAGTCCCCTTTAAACCAACGATGGAACCACCACAGAAAGTAGACGGACCGTTCGTTGTAAATCTACAGTGTTGTAGAAGTGGAGACAAGAGCAGCCATCTTGTGATGACTCACTGTTATTGGTGGAGGAGCAGCCATCTTGTGATGACTCACTGTTATTGGTGGAGTCATGGGACAGTGCTCCAAAAAAACACACATTCTGTTACAATTTGAGCTCCTGTATAATGGAGATGTGCTGATTATTTAGGCCAATGATGTCGGGTTGGAGTCCTATGGATGCAAACCCCAGCTCCCCCAGGCTATTGTGCCCTGGGAGGTAGAGTCTGGTGCCCCAGATTAGTAGGAGGCTGGCGTGGCTGGTACGCAGGCCAGAGGTGAATGGGTGGAGTGATGGTGGTGGTCCTCTGTGTGTGTGTGTGTGTGTGTGTGTGTGTGTGTGTGTGTGTGTGTGTGTGTGTGTGTGTGTGTGTGTGTGTGTGTGTGTGTGTGTGTGTGTGTGTGTGTGTGTGTGTGTGTGTGTGTGTGTGTGTGTGTGTGTGTGTGTGTGTGTGTGTGTGTGTGTGTGTGTGTGTGTGTGTGTGTGTGTGTGTCCATTGCTCCAGGTGATGGTGCAGATTAGATAGAAGACTGTCCAGGCCAGGGGTGGATGGAATCAGTGGGTGATATGATGTCAGAGCCATTCGTTCTTCAGGAGTGACTGGAAGGTCTCCTCTGTGTGTCAGTGACAGTCCACTTCTCCGGGTGACAGTGCAGATGGATGGATGGATGGATGGATGGATGGATGGATGGATGGATGGATGGATGGATGGATGGATGGATGGATGGATGGATGGATGGATGGATGGATGGATGGATGGATGGATGGATGGATGGATGGATGGATGGATGGATGGATGGATGGATGGATGGATGGATGGATGGATGGATGGATGGATGGATGGATGGATGGATGGGTGGAAGACTACTGGCATTGTTCCTCTGACCTCCCCTTTCTCTCTCTCATGTCGCTGATCCACAGGAGGACGGTCTTGAACTCTCCAATGGCCTTGTAAGTCCCGTTGGTGTCCAGCTGCCAAAAGAGTGAATGAATAGTTAACAACAGATCATAAACACATACTCTACTTTTACTTTTTACTTTTCTACTGATTGGATACTATAGCCGTAGGGGATGGAACTGATTGGATACTATAACCATAGAGGATGGAACTGATTGGATACTATAGCCATAGAGGATGGACTGATTGGATACTATAACCATAGAGGATGGAACTGATTGGATACTATAGCCATAGAGGATGGAACTGATTGGATACGATAGCCATAGAGGATGGAACTGATTGTGAATGCACATAGGTGCAGATAAGAGTTAAATCTCAGGTAAATGTCAACAGTTGAGGAATCGTTAAAACAGGTCAATTAGATGTAGAGATTAGTTTTGTTTTGAGCTGTGCGTCTTTGCCAAATAGCACCGTGTTGAGTTGTGTAAGAGGTTTGGATAAGTCATATTTACCTTCTTAAATGTGTTCTCCATCTTCCTGATGGTTGTCTTGGTCCATTTTGGTCTAGTTGGGCACTCCACCAGCTGTGGAGAGTAAGAATGGTCAGTAGTCTTCTCTATTTGTCTGTCCGTCTATAATATCTTAGAATAACATGGGTGGGTGATCAGTGCGTTCTGCAGGTATAGAAACATTCCCATCATGCTAGTCTACACTCTTAGAAGTAAACGTGCCTGGAATAACCTTTTGGGTTGCCACACTGGCAGAACCTTTCCAGTTGAAAAAGGTTCCTTGAGGAACCCCTCTGAAAAGGGTCTTTGAGGAAACCCCTTGTGTAAAGGTTAGAGCCAGAACCTTTTTGTGATGGGAGGGGTTCAATTTTGAACCTTTAAAAAATATATATCGTAGAGGTGGCAGACTATTATTTTTGGTCCCCGTTTGCATAAATGTTATTCCTGTTCATCAAGTTAAGTTCTGTACACTGCAAATTAAAATGTACCTTCAATATTGATGCATAATACATATAATAATATAATATTCATAATATTAACATCGCTGATTACATACAGTAGTAAAGTAATAACTAGTCCAACTTTGGGATTAGCGCAGGCGCTTGAGGAACTCACACACCTCTGTTAGCCTCACTGAAGCTACAAAACTGTCAGTGTTTAATCTTGACATGTAATGACAATACAACAGAACAGATGAACAGGAATGACATTTCCTCTAACAGGTGATTAAAAAAAAGATATATCTTATAAGTTCAATACTCACACAAGATTGCACATCTTTTACCAGCCTCGCAAGAAGATCCTCAAAGTGTTTGGGGTACAGATGTTCCAAAGATTTCTGGTTGAACACGTTGTCATAGACATCCAATATCTTGTTGATTTCCCAGATGCCAAGTTGTTTCTAAAAAAATAAAATGAAAACAATTCAAGTCTTGTTGCTTGCTCTTACTCTTACTTGTTTAATAAAATGCCAAAGTAGTTCAGTAACAGTCTATGTTTTGATGTACAAATATGATTTACAAATATACCTTAGCACACGTTGTACAGATTTTGGGCAGAAGTCTTTCATATATTTTTCTGGGGAACGTCTGTAACAAAATACATTTCAATCAATTACTGTGCACATAACAATACTTATTTCATGGATTTGAAACAGAATGAAAACAGTTTTCTACTTACTGGTAAAGAGTTTGTGAGAGTTTCTGTTTTGTAGAGTAATTGGTTGATCAGTCTGGGAGAGACCGTCCGTTGGAGACAGTTTGGTCTGTTGCTTGGTTTCCCGCCAGGCGCACGTCCATCCAGGTGCCCAAACATCAGCCCGAGCAGACCAACCGTTACCGCAATCATAGCGCGCATCTTATCGGTCTTATTGTTTTCAGTCCTAATTAACGGCGAAGAGTAGAGTAGAGTAGCAGTAGTAGTAGTAGTAGTAACTGTAGTTTGAGAGTCTGCACCTCTTCTTTCATGTTATATACCCATCACTTCACTTTTCAAAAAAATTCCCACAGTCGAAACGTGATGCTTAAAAGTGTTACAGCATTTCGTTTGCTCCAAATTTCCATGGAGTGGCCCAGCACAAGGCACGTTGATGCTGAGCTTGCTGTTATCTCTCTTTCAGATCTACGATGCCCTGCGGTTAGATTTGCTTGTTGTGGTTTTGCGTTCTAGAGAGAGTTTACCACTCCGAGATTACTGGATGGATAAAACGAGGTTGCAGGTTCATGCTATGTGTTACTCCCCCCCTCATCAAGCAGCTGTAGTTCTATTGAGGTTAATGAGGGATGCGTCTTGAATCTAAACCAAGAGTAGGCCTATCTGTTGCTCCATATCCGGTATCTTCTTGATAACTGCTATTCTGCAGGCTTCTAAACTGTGCTCCTCTCTATTAAATGTGAACGTGCTTTAAAAGCCTACCTTCTAAACGTTTAGTGCAAGATCATAGTAAATATGCACTTTCTGGGAAATAATTTAGATAAGAAGATCGCATTTTGTTTGTGTGACTTGTAATGTAGTGTAATGATTCTACCACTGAGGATTGATTGATTAATTATTTATTTAAAAAACACCTTTTTATTTTGTCTCATTAATTTAAAACACTCAATTTGCATTTCACTGATGTCATTCATTCTATACAACATCATCATCACTCTGGCTTAATACAAAACAATAGCAAAACTGCAGCAATGCAAAACATCTCTTGCTGACGTGTCTGTCTAACCTTTCCTGGTGCATCGTGCATGATAAAAGCGGTTTTGTGGAGGTGGATACTGTAATGGATCGTCAATGGCCTTTAACCAACCCAAAGCTTTTGCCATGCAAACTCTCACTATCTGTCCCTCACTATTGGCCCCACCTGATCCAATGGGGGTTAGTTCAGTTATGTAAGGTTGGTTGGCACTTACTGGAAGGGGTTGGTTCTGTTTATCCCTGGGTAGGATGAGTTGGCAACTCTGCTCTCTCCCCCCTGATCTGTGTTACCCACTTAAACCAGGTCACCCTCCTACATGGTTCACCACTGCTAGGTCTGCTCTGACCCAGATAGCTGGAGTTGGAGACTTCTGCACGTCGCCTTTAGCCTCCAATCCAAGTACTCTATGAGTCAATGTGGTCACAGAAAAAAAAACTGATTCAGAAGACTGACTAAAGCGATCAGCTGAGTTCCAGTCAGTCAGAACATTCAACGGTGTGTCGTACGGTTTTAAATGGTTACAAACCTCCATCAGTTGGACATTGAACCATAGGGAGAAGGTGGAGACAGATTCAAATCGTTTTTACGTGCTACTGTGACCAACTGGGTTTTAAACCTTGGGTCGTCTGTGGAGCAAAATACAGCGTTAGCCCACTGAGCTAAAGCCCAGGCATTAGCTCGGGGAGCTTACCTCAGAGAGCTAACGCAACTCTTCAGGTCTCAGGTAAGATTACTCATCAAGCAAGCATCATTCACTGAACTTCCTCCAAAGCCCTAAAAAGCCCTTCAGGCTTTCCAAATCAGCAACGCTGCAAATATCTTTTCCACTCCTTCCGTATCTAGACGTTAACAAAATATATGAAAAAAAATGGAACATTATCATTCAAAGAATATCGGCAGAAGTTCATATGAGGTTTCCATTTCAAGGGTCCTCGATTGTCTTCACCATCATCATGCTGTGTTTCATTCTCCTTCCATCCTGTCTGGGTCTGGGTCAGGCCTCTGGCCATAAGAACTGGGTCAGGCCTCTGTCATAAGGACTGGGTCAGGCCTCTGTCATAAGGACTGGGTCAGGCCTCTGTCATAAGAACTGGGTCAGGCCTCTGTCATAAGGACTGGGTCAGGCCTCTGTCATAAGGACTGGGTCAGGCCTCTGTCATAAGGACTGGGTCAGGCCTCTGTCATAAGGACTGGGTTAGGCCTCTGGCCATAAGAACTGTGTCAGGCCTCTGTCATAAGGACTGGGTCAGGCCTCTGGCCATAAGAACTGGGTCAGGCCTCTGGCCATAAGAACTGTGTCAGGCCTCTGTCATAAGGACTGGGTCAGGCCTCTGGCCATAATAACTGGGTCAGGCCTCTGGCCATAAGAACTGGGTCAGGCCTCTGCCATAAGGACTGGGTCAGGCCTCTGGCCATAAGAACTGGGTCAGGCCTCTGGCCATAAGAACTGGGTCAGGCCTCTGCCATAAGGACTGGGTCAGGCCTCTGGCCATAAGAACTGGGTTAGGCCCCTGTCATAAGAACTGGGTTAGGCCTCTGGCATAAGAACTGGGTCAGGCCTCTGGCATAAGAACTGGGTCAGGCCTCTGGCCATAAGAACTGGGTCAGGCCTCTGCCATAAGGACTGGGTTAGGCCTCTGTCATAAGAACTGGTCAGGCCTCTGTCATAAGAACTGGGTCAGGCCTCTGGCCATAAGGACTGGGTCAGGCCTCTGTCATAAGGACTGGGTCAGGCCTCTGTCATAAGAACTGGGTCAGGCCTCTGTCATAAGAACTGGGATAGGCCTCTGGCCATAAGAACTGGGTCAGGCCTCTGCCCATAAGAACTGGGTCAGGCCTCTGTCATAAGGACTGGGTCAGGCCTCTGTCATAAGGACTGGGTTAGGCCTCTGTCATAAGAACTGGGTTAGGCCTCTGGCCATAAGAACTGGGTCTCTGTTTCATCACCTTAAACTCTCCAGAGGTGGAACACAGGAACCTGGCCCGGCCCCACTCCCAGCCCATCCCAGCCACGCCCCTGGCCAAACCCCTGGCCAAACTCCTGCCAGCTGCTTCCCCTGGCCTGCATGCGGAGCAGAGAGAAGCAGAGAGAAACCAGGAAGTAAGTGTTTACCTGTCTCAGGTGTCATCATGTTGTCATTTCCCTGAACTGGGGAAGCAGGTAAAACTTCCTGATTGGACAATCCCACTGTTGGCGCATGCTCTCTGCATAACACAATACACACACTCATGCACCAACACACACACCCACACACACACATGGACACACAAACACACATACACACACGGACACACATAGAAGTAAGGACTGGGTCAGGCCTCTGTCATAAGAACTGGGTCAGGCCTCTGTCATAAGAACTGGGTCAGGCCTCTGTCATAAGAACTGGGTCAGGCCTCTGTCATAAGAACTGGGTCAGGCCTCTGTCATAAGAACTGGGTCAGGCCTCTGGCCATAAGAACTGGGTCAGGCCTCTGGCCATAAGAACTGGGTCAGGCCTCTGTCATAAGAACTGGGTCAGGCCTCTGGCCATAAGAACTGGGTCAGGCCTCTGGCCATAAGAACTGGGTCAGGCCTCTGTCATAAGGACTGGGTCAGGCCTCTGTCATAAGGACTGGGTCAGGCCTCTGTCATAAGAACTGGGTCAGGCCTCTGTCATAAGAACTGGGTCAGGCCTCTGTCATAAGAACTGGGTCAGGCCTCTGGCCATAAGAACTGGGTCAGGCCTCTGGCCATAAGAACTGGGTCAGGCCTCTGTCATAAGGACTGGGTCAGGCCTCTGTCATAAGGACTGGGTCAGGCCTCTGTCATAAGAACTGGGTCAGGCCTCTGGCACAAGAACTGGGTTAGTCCTCTGCCATAAGAACTGGGTCAGGCCTCTGTCACAAGAACTGGGTTAGTCCTCTGCCATAAGAACTGGGTCAGGCCTCTGTCACAAGAACTGGGTTAGTCCTCTGCCATAAGAACTGGGTCAGGCCTCTGGCCATAAGAACTGGGTCAGGCCTCTGTCATAAGAACTGGGTCAGGCCTCTGTCATAAGAACTGGGTCAGGCCTCTGGCCATAAGAACTGGGTCAGGCCTCTGGCCATAAGAACTGGGTCAGGCCTCTGTCATAAGGACTGGGTCAGGCCTCTGTCATAAGGACTGGGTCAGGCCTCTGTCATAAGAACTGGGTCAGGCCTCTGTCACAAGAACTGGGTTAGGCCTCTGTCATAAGAACTGGGTCAGGCCTCTGTCATAAGAACTGGGTCAGGCCTCTGGCCGTAAGAACTGGGTCAGGCCTCTGTCATAAGGACTGGGTCAGGCCTCTGTCACAAGAACTGGGTTAGGCCTCTGTCATAAGGACTGGGTCAGGCCTCTGTCACAAGAACTGGGTCAGGCCTCTGGCCATAAGAACTGGGTCAGGCCTCTGCCATAAGAACTGGGTCAGGCCTCTGCCATAAGAACTGGGTCAGGCCTCTGCCATAAGAACTGGGTCAGGCCTCTGCCATAAGAACTGGGTCAGGCCTCTGTCATAAGGACTGGGTCAGGCCTCTGGCCATAAGAACTGGGTTAGGCCCATACTGCATGGCAGCACAGCTGCATACTACACAAGATGCCACTGACTGACCCATAGTACCTTAATGGCACCACTTACAGCAGTACAGGTCATGTATCTCTGGATACAGCTAGTCAGAACATTGTATAGCCTAGGGAATGGGAGCTGAGAGGTGTGGTAGTGGGGGGGTCACAGTTAGGAGCTGAGAGGTGTGGTGGGGGGTCACAGACATTGTCACCATGGGGTAATTATGGGTAATTCTCAGGAAGATACATCCTTTGTTTGCTCTCTGAAAGCCCACCGTTTCCTCTGCTGATGTGGACCAGGAAATAGCTGTAAAAACCCCAGGTCTTTATCAATTCAATTCAATTCAATTTAAGGGCTTTATTGGCATGGGAAACATGTGTTAACATTGCCAAAGCAAGTGAAGTAGATAGTAAACAAAAGTGAAATAAACAATAAATATTAACAGTAAACATTACACTCAGAAGTTTCAAAAGAATAAAGACATTTCAAATGTCATATTATGTATATATACAGTGTTGTAACAATGTGCAAATAGTTAAAGTACAAATGGGAAAATAAATAAACATAAATATGGGTTGTATTTACAATGGTGTTTGTTCTTCACTGGTTGCCCTTTTCTTGTGGCAACAGGTCACAAATCTTGCAGCTGTGATGGCACACTGTGGTTTTTCACCCAGGAGTTTATCAAAATTGGGTTTGTTTTCGAATTCTTTGTGGATCTGTGTAATCTGAGGGAAATATGTGTCTCTAATATGGTCATACATTCTCTCTGTCTCTGTTTCATCACCTTAAACACTCCAGAGGTGGAACACAGGAACCTGGCCCGGCCCCGCCCCCAGCCCCGCCCCCAGCCACGCCCCTGGCCAAACCCCTGGCCAAACTCCTGCCAGCTGCTTCCCCTGGCCTGCATGCGGAGCAGAGAGGAGCAGAGAGAAACCAGGAAGTAAGTGTTTACCTGTCTCAGGTGTCATCATGTTGTCATTTCCCTGAACTGGGGAAGCAGGTAAAACTTCCTGATTGGACAATCCCACTGTTGACGCATGCTCTCTGCATAACACAATACACACACTCATGCACCAACACACACACCCGCACACACATACGAACACACACACACACAAACACACACAAATACACACAAACACACACACACTTGGACACACACACGTCAACTATAGTTAATGTTATTGTCTGTTCCAGACACTACCAGTACTGACCATCAGAGGTTTAGATAATATGTCCTATTTAGCATAATGACAGCACGTCTGTTTCTGTCATCAACTCTTACTGAATTGAGAGAGATTCTATTTTTTGCTATAGTAATGAAGGCCTAAATTGCCTGTGTAATTTTACTGAAAACTATTCCTGTTTCAATATCATAGTCTGCAGATGTTTTCCGGACACAGATTAAGTCTAGTACTGAACTAAAACATTATTCTCAATGGGGAACCTCCGGGAAACTGGCCCAATAAATGTAGGAACCATTTATCGACGAATTCACCCTTAAATCTTGTTCTGTGGTTGCTGTACACAGTGAACAATGTATTTGAATGGAATGCACGGTTACATACGGTATGTGTTTGTCAAAGCTGGCGTAGGGGTGGTGTGGGAATCAGATGCAGGATGCAGAAGTAGTCCAAAATACTTTAATAAAGTCCACAGAATTAACGGCTACAAACAGAGCCGGAGGCACAAGAAAAATAACGCACTCAGCGTAATAAACTAAACACGCACAATAGTGCGGACTCTCTACAGAAATAGAGCACAAACTTGACATGGAAACACCTGCTGACAATCAACAACTACACACAACCACAAGACAGAAACAACGAGAACTTAAAGGACACATAATCAAGACAAAATGAGAAACAGGTGTACCAAAACAGACCAAACCAAACGAACACAGAAACAACGAACGGTGGCAGCTAGTACTCCGGGGACGACGACCGCCGAAGCCTGCCCGAACAAGGAGAAGGAGCAGCCTCGGCAGAAACCGTGACAGTGTTGCTGAATGTGTGAATTGAATGTGTTTATATGTTCAGCATCTCACCATCCAATAATACCATACACTGCATTCTAGTCTCGTGCTATATAACTACTGCTGTACACATACAGTATAACGTTATTCTGCGTCTGTCTAAGTATACACCGTACACTGTGTAAAGACACAATAATATATTTGAAAAGAAGAATGTGCTTCTGAAAAGTTTTTATTTTCGAAGTCTTAGGTTACAAACACAGTTGCAAATTCAATACATTCCCCCCCCCCCCCGTGTTACATACAGGTGCATTCACTTCATGTCTAAATACAATGACTTTATATCAAAATACATATTTGCTCAATAGATTTATAAATAACTTTAAAAATGTCATAATAATTTAACAATAATAATAACTTAACAATGGAATAAATTCTCTGTTTAAATATATTCTCCAAAATGCTTTAAAAAAAAAATATCCTTCTTGTGTCCAGCACATGATGTATAGAAAGTAAGGGCCACAACGCGGCTACATATGAAATACTCAAGACGTTGCACATCTGATGTGAACAGAATCTCGATGCATTTGAAATACATTCCATCAGTTTGCATGTTTCTTAGTAATATCAATAAATAGATAGATAGATAATACAATCATAAATATGCTATGCAAAATGAATATTAAAAAAACCATAATATCCTTATTGGATGTAAGGCACTGGAACATAGCATGACTAAAATCTCTATATGATGATATAGATGTGTTGGATCTAGTTGTACATCTCTATATGATGAAATAGCATGTGTTGGATCTAGTTGTACATCTCTATATGATGATATAGATGTGTTGGATCTAGTTGTACATCTCTATATGATGATATAGATGTGTTGGATATAGATGTACATCTCTATATGATGAAATAGCATGTGTTGGATCTAGTTGTACATCTCTATATAATGATGTGGGATGTGTCTGAATCCTGCATGTGGATCTAGGCGTGCACGCAGAAGTCTTTCAGGAAGGTGAAGAGGATGTCAATCTCTCCAATAGCTTTCTTCATCCCTTTCCCCGCCTCCATCTGAAATACACAAGAAACAAACCAAATGGGTTTTAGACAAAGATCGCATTCAATCAAATGTTTCAAGGATTAATTGTTAATTGATTTAACGATTAACTATTTAACTTATTATAATGTTTTTTTGTGACAAGCATGAAAATGATCAAGTCTATACGGGTATCGTGAAGAATTACCTCGGACAACTTCTTGCGGAAAGCTTTGCTGTGGTGGTGATCATTGTAATGTTTAATAGCCTAGAAGAAAGAGAGAGGAATCAGTCACTTTCTCTGAGGGGATATAAACACCATCTCTACACAATATCACACTTCAGATCTCTGACTGAGAGAGAGAGAGAGAGAGAGAGAAGAGAGAGAGAGAGAGAGAGAGAGAGAGAGAGAGAGAGAGAGAGAGAGAGGATGAGAGAAGAGAGAGAGAGAGGAGAGAGAGAGAGAGAGAGAGAGAGAGAGATTGAGAGAGAGAGGATAGAGGAGAGAGAGAGAGAGAGGAGAGAGAGAGAGGCGAGAGAGAGAGAGAGAGGAGAGAGAGAGAGAGACGAGAGAGAGATAGAGAGAGAGAGAGAGGAGAGAGAGAGAGAGAGAGAGAGAGAGAGAGAGAGAGAGACGAGAGAGAGACAGACAGACAGACAAACAGAGTGAAACATAGGAGTGTGTTGAAAAGGTAGAGAACAGATGAAGAGAGAGAGAGATGATAACAAGTGAGTGTAGGTAAAGTGAACGAAAGAGAGGAGAACTTACACAGCCATGTTCCTCCAGGTCTCTGCTGACTCGGGCCAGGTCTTCCTTCAGGGCAGGGAGTTTAGGATGATGCTTGTCCTGCTTCTCCTTAGTGGTCAGGATGTTACTCAGGTAGAAGTCCAGGATGTTAGCATGCAGGCAGCAGATGTCCCTGTGGTTCTGCTGTATTAAAGGCATCCATTAATTAGTATGATATTATTAGTATTGCCTACATTTGCATCAAGAAATATTTTAGAAAAATGTAGAAATATAAAATAAAACACAAAACTAAATTGGATACCATTTTCACACCAAGCTCTAAAATAATAGGCTAGACATGGATTAACATGATATTATTAATTGGTTTAATTGACACACCTTTTTAGTATCGATGTCTGGCATCAGTTTAGTGTCAGTATCATTGTCAGAACTTTGCGCCTGTTGAAACAGACAGGAATGGCATTATTAGGCAAAAAATATATCAAAAACCATAATCAAATAAACCCGTATAAAAGACAAAAATAATAGGCTGCTAGTTCTACAAATATAATATATTTAGTTTAGTCCTACAATTATAAGCCATTATGGAATATGAAATATGATAAAGTAATATGAAATATGATAAAGTAATATGAAATATGATAAAGTAATATGAAATATGATAAAGTAATATGAAATATGATAAAGTAATATGAAATATGATAAAGTAATATGAAATATGATATAGTAACTTACGTGTTGAGCCACCAGCCGCACCATGGAGTCGGTGTCCGCGCTGTGCAGTGGGGCGCTGAGCGGGCGGTGGATGGAGTGCGCCACGGCTTCCCGCAGCAGACACACGCTCATCACCACCACCACCGCCGCTAGGAGTTGGACCATGCTGAACTTCATATTGGCTCCGGGAGATGCGTGTCTTTCTCTTCGTTTGAATAATAATGCGAAAATATCACAGTTCGCCTGGAAACAATACATTATATGAATAAGAGACAGTTAAATAACTTATTTTAATTTAGGTAAGCCTTGTCTAATGTTATTTAAAGGCTACACGATACAGGTTATAATACATCTATTTTGCAAGAGAGACCTATTGTAATACTACAACCAAGATCGCACCTTAAGCTGCTTACCTTGAAGGGTTGGTTTGGTAGGTTGTCATGTTTTCTACCTGGTAGGGAAAGTATTTATATTGTCTAGAGGCCTAGGTGGAGGGGACGTCATTGTGGTTCCTTTCCCCGTATTCAGGTCAATCCGCGGGTATCCCCCCCTCCCTCCGCAGCCTCCCGACCTGGGTTAACCAGGTCAACGTTATAACACCGAACTGCAATACTATACAGAAAAAATACACAAAAATAACATAATAGGCAGAAAAAAATGAAGATGATTCATGAGCAAAAATATGAAATGAGATAAATAAATGTGTTCCTAAATGAATGACGTGAACTCAGTCATTCATCAAAAAGAGAACTGATTGCCTGGGTTCGGGATGTTGTGGCTACGTCACCCAGTTATTAATATTTGAAATGATTGCGTCTGTTTTCTTCTCCTCAGGTGGTTTAGGATGCTGGAACATTCGATATAGAGTAACTGTACAACGCTAACTGTAAATTCCCCTCAATGAAATTAAATATATGACAGCACTGCAAACAGATCAGCCATTGAGCCCAGGCTCAACACACATCACGATGTTTACAATAGTTAATCGTTGAATCCACATCCCAAATTGTACCCTATTCCCTTTAAAGTGCACTACTTTTGACCAGGGCCCATAAGACTCTGGTCATAAGTAGTGCACTATTTAGTGAATAGGGTACCATTTGAGACGTCAACAATAAAGGAGAGCTGGTGCACTTGAGACAGATTGAGGCAGATTCAGCACACTGAGTTGCCAAGTGACCCTCTGAGAGCTTGGTTACATCCCAAAATGGCACCCTGTTCCCTATGTAGTGCACTACTTTTGAACACTACCCATAAGACTCTGTAGGACATAGGGTGCCATTTGGGACATACCCTTGTTCAGCCGTAGAGGAAACCACTAGGCTCTTTCACAACTCGGGGGGCAGTTTCCCTTATTATTGGCAGAGGTTCACCAACTATCATCAAACACTGTGGGACAGGCTTCTATGAAGCATACCACTGTAGGCCAAGCTACATTAATCCATGTCTTATCTTATGGGAAGTGTTTTCATGCGTCATTCTAGTACCGTTTCATACAACAGAGAAGCAGGTGGAGGGATAAACCAGTGTGTTTTCACTGAGCCACACGTCATGGGCTGTTACCTGGTTATATTACCTGATGACTATTACCTGGGTATGACAGACCAACCATGGTTCCTTCCTGGCAAATGACCTGACTATTACCTGGGTATGACAGACCAACCATGGTTCCTTCCTGGTAAATGACCTGACTATTACCTGGGTATGACAGACCAACCATGGTTCCTTCCTGGTAAATGACCTGACTATTACCTGGGTATGACAGACCAACCATGGTTCCTTCCTGGTAAATGACTTGACTATTACCTGGGTATGACAGACCAACCATGGTTCCTTCCTGGTAAATGACTTGACTATTACCTGGGTATGACAGACCAACCATGGCTCCTTCCTGGTAAATGACCTGACTATTACCTGGGTATGACAGACCAACCATGGTTCCTTCCTGGTAAATGACTTGACTATTACCTGGGTATGACAGACCAACCATGGCTCCTTCCTTCCTGGTAAATGACCTGACTATTACCTGGGTATGACAGACCAACCATGGTTCCTTCCTGGTAAATGACCTGACTATTACCTGGGTATGACAGACCAACCATGGTTCCTTCCTGGTAAATGACCTGACTATTACCTGGGTATGACAGACCAACCATGGTTCCTTCCTGGTAAATGACCTGACTATTACCTGGGTATGACAGACCAACCATGGTTCCTTCCTGGTAAATGACTTGACTATTACCTGGGTATGACAGACCAACCATGGTTCCTTCCTGGTAAATGACCTGACTATTACCTGGGTATGACAGACCAACCATGGTTCCTTCCTGGTAAATGACCTGACTATTACCTGGGTATGACAGACCAACCATGGTTCCTTCCTGGTAAATGACCTGACTATTACCTGGGTATGACAGACCAACCATGGTTCCTTCCTGGTAAATGACCTGACTATTACCTGGGTATGACAGACCAACCATGGTTCCTTCCTTCCTGGCAAATGACCTGACTATTACCTGGGTATGACAGACCAACCATGGTTCCTTCCTGGTAAATGACTTGACTATTACCTGGGTATGACAGACCAACCATGGTTCCTTCCTGGCAAATGACCTGACTATTACCTGGGTATGACAGACCAACCATGGTTCCTTCCTGGTAAATGACTTGACTATTACCTGGGTATGACAGACCAACCATGGTTCCTTCCTGGTAAATGACTTGACTATTATTACAAATGTATTGAAAATGAAATACATAAATATCATTTACATAAGTATTCACACCCCTGAGTCAATACATGTTGAAATCACCTTTAGCAGCGATTACAGCAGTGAGTCTTTCTGGGTAAGTCTCTTAAGAGCTTTGCACACCTGGATTGGACAACATTTGCAAATTATTATTTTCAAGCTGATTTAAGTCAAAACTGTAACTAGGCAACTCAGGAACATTCAATGTCGTGTTGGTAAGCAACTCCAGTGTATATTTGGCCTTGTGTTTTAGATTATTGTCCTGCTAAATGAATGTGTCTCCCAGGGCCTGTTGGAAAGCAGACTGAACCAGGTTTTCCTCTAGAATTTTATTTTTATCCTAAAAAATGCCCTGACTTGCCGATGACAAGCATACCCATAACATGATGGAGCCAACACCATGCTTGAAAATATGAAGAGTGGTATTCAGTGATGTGTTGTGTTGGATTTGCCCCAAACATAACACTTTGTACTCAAGACATAAAGTTAATTTCTTTGCCACATTTTTTGCAGTTTTACTTTAGTGCCTTATTGCAAACAGGATGCATGTTTTGGAATATTTTGTATTCTGTACAGGCTTTCATCTTTTCACTCTGTCATTTAGGTTAGTATTGTGGAGTAACTACAATGCTGTTGATCCATCCTCAGTTATCTCCTATCACAGCCATTAAACTCTGTAACTGCTTTAAAGTCACCAATGGCCTCATTGTGAAATCCCTGAGCGGTTTCCTTCCTCTCCGGAAACCGAGTTAGGAAAGACACCTGTATCTTTGTAGTGACTGGATGTATTGATACACCTTCCAAAGTAAAATGAATAACTTCACAATTATCAAAGGGATATTCAATGTCTGCTTTTTTTTTTTTTACCCATCTACCAATAGGAGCCCTTCTTTGCGAGGCATTGAAAAACCTCCCTGGTCTTTGTGGTTTGAATTTGTGTTTGAAATTCACTGCTCGACTGAGGGACCTTACAGATAATTGTATGTGTGGGGTACAGAGATGAGGTAGTTATTCAAAAGCCATGTTAAACACTATTATTGCACACAGTGTGAGTCCATGCAACTCATTATGTGACTTGTTAAGCAAATGTTTACTACTGAACTTATTTAGCCTCGCCATAACAAAGGGGTCGAATCCTTATTGAATCTAGACATTTCAGCTTTTCATTTGTAAATAATTTGTAAAAATGTCTCAAAACATCATTCTACTATGACATCGTGGGGTATTGCGTGTGGGCCCAGTGACACAACATCTCAATTTAATCAATTTTAAACTCAGGCTGCAACGCAACAAATTGTGGGAAAAAAAGTCAAGAGAATATCTTCTGAAGGCGCTGTATAAGGACTGGAGTGCTATTTGGGAAGCAGCCAATCGCATAAATATTGCAGTGAATTACTACAAATGTATTCTATAATACATGAAGTCAACGAGATAGCTAATGGATACCGATTGTTCCAACATTTATTTAATCTTTCCTCTCAACAGCGTTGCATTCAAACACACATTGTATCTCTTATACAAACCTTTACAACCTGTTTCAACTGCATCAATGTTGATTTGTAGTAGCAGTAGCAGTGCATAATTCACTTTCCAACAAGAGTACATTTACATTTTAGTCATTTAGCAGACGCTCTTATCCAGAGCGACTTACACTTAGTGAGTGCATACATTTTCATACTGGCCCCCCCCCCGTGGGAAACGAACCCACAACCCTGGCATTGCAAGCGCCATGCTCTACCAACTGAGCTACACGGGGCCCAGTGTATCCAGAGTAGTGTATCAAGTAATATATTAACAACGCAGAATCGATACTACAGTAAAAATCTCAATTACAATAAAAAAGTAGTTCTCCATATACAAAACGAAATCATTTAGAATAAATACAAATCCAGTTCTTTACACTTTATTCAATACATTATTACAAAACATCTGAACTAAATTCACACAAATAGGGAGGGTATCCCAGATCCAGATTCAGCCTAGTAGTCTGGACACTCTGGTTATAGAAACCCAGATTCAGCCTAGTAGTCTGGACACTCTGGTTATAGAAAGCCAGATTCAGCCTAGTAGTCTGGACACTCTGGTTATACAAACCCAGATTCAGCCTAGTAGTCTGGACACTCTGGTTATACAAACCCAGATTCAGCCTAGTAGTCTGGACACTCTGGTTATACAAACCCAGATTCAGCCTAGTAGTCTGGACACTCTGGTTATAATAACCCAGATTCAGCCTAGTAGTCTGGACACTCTGGTTATAGAAACCCAGATTCAGCCTAGTAGTCTGGACACTCTGGTTATACAAACCCAGATTCAGCCTAGTAGTCTGGACACTCTGGTTATACAAACCCAGATTCAGCCTAGTAGTCTGGACACTCTGGTTATAATAACCCAGATTCAGCCTAGTAGTCTGGACACTCTGGTTATACAAACCCAGATTCAGCCTAGTAGTCTGGACACTCTGGTTATACAAACCCAGATTCAGCCTAGTAGTCTGGACACTCTGGTTATACAAACCCAGATTCAGCCTAGTAGTCTGGACACTCTGGTTATAGAAACCCAGATTCAGCCTAGTAGTCTGGACACTCTGGTTATACAAACCCAGATTCAGCCTAGTAGTCTGGACACTCTGGTTATACAAACCCAGATTCAGCCTAGTAGTCTGGACACTCTGGTTATACAAACCCAGATTCAGCCTAGTAGTCTGGACACTCTGGTTATACAAACCCAGATTCAGCCTAGTAGTCTGGACACTCTGGTTATACAAACCCAGATTCAGCCTAGTAGTCTGGACACTCTGGTTATACAAACCCAGATTCAGCCTAGTAGTCTGACACTCTGGTTATAGAAACCCAGATTCAGGCCTAGTCGTCTGGGCACTCTGGTTATGATAAAACCCATATTTCAGCCTATAGTAGTCCCTGGACACTCTGGTTATACAAACCCAGATTCAGCCTAGTCGTGGACACTTGGTTATACAAACCCAGATTCAGCTAGTAGTCTGGACCACTCGGGTTATTACAAACCCAGATTCAGCCTAGTAGTCTGGACACTCTTGTTATACAAAACCCAGATTCAGCCTAGTAGTCTGGACACTCTGGTTCTAAAAACCCAGATTCAGCCTCGTCGTGGACCACTCTGGTTTACCAAACCCAGATTCCGCTAGTAGTTGGACCTCTGGTTATACAAACCCAGATTCAGCTAGTAGTCTGGACACTCTGGTTATACCAACCCAGATTCAGCCTAGTAGTCTGGACACTCTGGTTATAGAAACCCAGATTCAGCCTAGTAGTCTGGACACTCTGGTTATAGAAACCCAGATTCTATAAAGCAGTGTACTATAGTGTACTCCATTCTGCTATAAAGCAGTGCACTATATGGTCAGGTAAATATGGTGCCATGTGGGACACATTGTGGTTCAGACCGTGCTGTGTGTCAGTGTCAGTCATATCTTCCCCCAGAGACAAAGGTAGTGCACTACATAGGGTATAAGGGTGATGTTTAGGACATAGTGTGTGTCAGTGGTGTTATCTCATCCCCCAGAAGTCTTCCTTCCTGCTCTAACAGTAGTGCACTACATTGGGAATAGGGTGCCATTTGGGATGTAATGTGAGGGGGGGGGGGGGTCAGTGCTTCCTGTTATCTCTTCCCCCAGAAGTGGTCCTTCCTCCTCTGGGCTCGGTCCAGGACCTGGGAGGCCATGGAGCAGGACGCTGCTGACCTGGACGAGATCTGGGACATCCTGTCATCTGGGGTCCACCAGGGGGGGTCACCATAGAACTCAGGGTCAGAGTTAGTCCATCAGGAGGAGATATCAGTGACCCAAAGATATGAACTCAGGGGTCAGAGGTTAGCCAGGTCAGGGAGAGAGTGATCAGCTGACCCCCAAAGATATAGAACCTCAGGGGTCAGAGGTTAGCCAGGTCAGGGAGAGAGTGATCAGCTGACCCCCAAAGATATAGAACCTCAGCTAGCCTTTATGCTTTATGTCATGGAGATATTGAAGCAAATGTCTCATTTTATTTTGTGTAAGAGGAGGTGTCGCTTCACTTGTATCAAGACTTTAACACTGAAGGCCAACATTACCCCTAAGCCTGCCTTTAACACTGAAGACCAACATTACCCCTATGCCTGCCTTTAACACTGAAGACCACATTACCCTGAAGACTGCCTTAACACTGAAGACCAACATTACCCTAAGCCTGCCTTTAACACTGAAGACCAACATTACCCCAAGCCTGCCTTTAACACTGAAGACCAACATTACCCCTATGCCTGCCTTTAACACTGAAGACCAACATTACCCCCAAGCCTGCCTTTAACACTGAAGACCAACATTACCCCTAAGCCTGCCTTTAACACTGAAGACCAACATTACCCCTATGCCTGCCTTTAACACTGAAGACCAACATTACCCTTAAGCCTGCCTTTAACACTGAAGACCAACATTACCCCAAGCCTGCCTTTAACACTGAAGACCAACATTCCCCCTATGCCTGCCTTTAACACTGAAGACCAACATTACCCCCAAGCCTGCCTTTAACACTGAAGACCAACATTACCCCTAAGCCTGCCTTTAATACTGAATACCAACATTACCCCTAAGCCTGCCTTTAACACTGAAGACCAACATTACGCCTAAGCCTGCCTTTAACACTGAAGACCAACATTACCCCTCAAGCCTGCCTTTAACACTGAATACCAACATTACCCCTAAGCCTGCCTTTAACACTGAAGACCAACATTACCCTAAGCCTGCCTTTAACACTGAATACCAACATTACCCTAAGCCTGCCTTTAACACTGAATACCAACATTACCCCTAGCCTGCCTTTAACAACTGAATACCAACATTACCCCTAAGCTGCTTTAACACTGAAGACCAACATTACCCTATGCTGCCCTTTAACACTGAAGACCAACATTACCCCTATGCCTGCCGTTAACACTGAATACCAACATTACCCCTAAGCCTGCCTTTAAACATGAAGACCAACATTACCCCTAAGCCTGCCTATAACACTGAAGACCAACATCCCCCTAAGCCTGCCTTTAACACTGAATTACCAACATTACCCCTAGCCGGCCTTTAACATGAATACCAACATTACCCCTAAACCTGCCTTTAACACTGAATACCAACATTACCCCTAAGCCTGCCTTTAACACTGAAGACCAACATTACCCCTAAGCCTGCCTTTAACACTGAAGACCAACATTACCCCTAAGCCTGCCTTTAACACTGAAGACCAACATTACCCCTAAGCCTGCCTTTAACACTGAAGACCAACATCAGCCTAGTTAGTCTAGTTGTGATGAGCTGAGCTTTAACTTATCCAGAAGTCCAGGACACCGGAGGGTTATACTACAGAACAGGATAAAGGAGAGTCAGATATATATATATATATATTTTTATAAGCTTGAAATGGGCATGTCTAATTGACTGAACAACCAAAAACACATCTCTGAGTTTAGGTTTCTTAATGAACCAGAAAATAAATGACTAAGGCATTGATCCTGCATTGTAGTATATCACCTTCATTATCAGACTAATGTGAAGAAGCTTGTTGCCATGACATTACCTTCATCATCAGTTCCACAGCCACCCCCTGGACACAGCAGCAGATCCGACGTCCTCAGGCCTAAATTACCTAGAGTAGAGGAAGACAATGGACACCTGTTCTGTTTGTTGTTGTGGGAGATACATGTCAATGCTAAGATAACAGTACATTTTTGCTTTCCATGTTATTACAAATGATGCACAATACTGCTACAGTTATAGTCCGTTGTCTTCCAATGAACTCCTTAGTAGGTCTGTGGCTGTGATTAACTCCTTAGTAGGTCTGTGGCTGTGATGAACTCCTTAGTAGGTCTGTGGCTGTGATGAACTCCTTAGTAGGTCTGTGGCTGTGATTAACTCCTTAGTAGGTCTGTGCTGTGACTGTGATGAACTCCTTAGTAGGTCTGTGACTGTGATGAACTCCTTAGTAGGTCTGTGGCTGTGATGAACTCCTTAGTAGGTCTGTGGCTGTGATGAACTCCTTAGTAGGTCTGTGCTGTGATGAACTCCTTAGTAGGTCTGTGGCTGTGATGAACTCCTTAGTAGGTCTGTGGTTGTGATTAACTCCTTAGTAGGTCTGTGACTGTGATGAACTCCTTAGTAGGTCTGTGACTGTGATGAACTCCTTAGTAGGTCTGTGACTGTGATGAACTCCTTAGTAGGTCTGTGGCTGTGATTAACTCCTTAGTAGGTCTGTGACTGTGATGAACTCCTTAGTAGGTCTGTACTGTGATGACCTCCTTAGTAGTCCGGCTGTGTGAACTCCTTATAGGTCTGTGCTGTGATACTCCTAGTGTCTGTGCTGTGATGAACTCCTTAGAGGTTTTTCTGTGATGAACTCCTTAGTGGTCTTGCGTGATGAACCTCCTTGACTCAGTGTTTGTTACCTCAGGTGTTTTGTTACCCAGGTGTTTCTACTCCTTAAGGTCTGTGGTTTTACCCAGTGGTTTCTTTACCTCAGTGTTTCTACCCAGGTGTTCTTTACTCAGGTGTTTTCCTTACCCAGGTGTTTCTATACCCAGTGTGTTCTCTGTGTTATCACCCAGGTGTCTTGACCTCAGGTGTTTTATCCTCAGGTGTTTACTCCTTATAGGTTGTGTTTTACCTCAGGTGTTTACTGACTCCTCAGTGTTCTGTGCTTTACTCCTAGTAGTGTTTACTCAGTGTGTTCTACCTCAGGTGTTTCTACCCAGGTGTTTTACTCAGGTGTTCTACCTCAGGTGTTTCTACCCAGGTGTTTCTACCCAGGTGTTTCTACCTCAGTGTTCTACCCAGGTGTTTCTACCTCAGTGTTCTACCCAGGTGTTTCTACCTCATTCTACCCCAGGTGTTTCTACCTCAGGTGTTTCTACCCAGGTGTTTCTACCCCAGGTGTTTCTACCTCATTCTACCCCAGGTGTTTCTACCTCCAGGTGTTTCTACCCCAGGTGTTTCTACCCAGGTGTTTCTACCTCAGGTGTTTCTACCCTCAGGTGTTTCTACCTCAGGTGTTTCTACCTCAGGTGTTTCTACCCCAGGTGTTTCTACCCAGGTGTTTCTACCTCAGGTGTTTCTACCCAGGTGTTTCTACCTCAGGTGTTTCTACCCAGGTGTTTCTACCTCAGGTGTTTCTACCTCAGGTGTTTCTACCCCAGGTGTTTCTACCTCAGGTGTTTCTACCCTAGGTGTTTCTACCCCAGGTGTTTCTACCCAGGTGTTTCTACCCAGGTGTTTCTACCTCTCAGGTGTTTTTACCCAGGTGTTTTACCTTTTATACCCCAGGTGTTTTCTACCCAGGTGTTTCTACCCAGGTGTTTCTACCCCAGGTGTTTCTACCCCAGGTGTTTCTACCCCAGGTGTTTCTACCCCAGGTGTTTCTACCCAGGTGTTTCTACCCCAGGTGTTTCTACCCCAGGTGTTTCTACCCCAGGTGTTTCTACCCAGGTGTTTCTACCCCAGGTGTTTCTACCTCAGGTGTTTCTACCTCAGGTGTTTCTACCCCAGGTGTTTCTACCCCAGGTGTTTCTACCCCAGGTGTTTCTACCCCAGGTATTTCTTCCTCAGGTGTTTCTACCTCAGGTGTTTCTACCTCAGGTGTTTCTACCCTAGGTGTTTTTACCCCAGGTGTTTTTACCTCATTCTACCCCAGGTGGAATGGAGGGAGACGAGAGGAAGAGAAAGAGTTGAAGGACTCTGGAGAAAAAGGGATTTCCCCCAGTTGTGATCCTCTGGCATCGGCTTCTGTATCTTTTGTCTTGAGGAGAAAGAAGCAGCTAGGAACTACAATACTAAACAATATCTGGTCTGGCGGGAAGGAAGGAATGAGGACCGGACTACAACTCTGTTTCCTTCTCACGTCCTGGTTATGTTATTCAACAGGTAGCCTGGTGTCAGATCTGTTGGTGAGACAGCATCAAGTTTGCAAGACGGCACGTGGCAAGTCAACCCAAACAGATACAGGCTACTTACATAACCTAACCTGGACGTGGCAACTTGGCAGGACAGTCCAAACAGATCTGGGACCAGGTTTTTTGTTACGCAACGGTAGAATATGCTGAGAAAAGCCACAAACTGTAACGATGTCTCAGCAGTAGAGAGAGAGCGAGAGCGACCACACCCCACAGGGACTCAGTCAAACAGACTGACCTATATACTGTAGTGATGACGGAAACCTGACACACACTCACACACCTCCCATCGACGGTAAATGATGCTCATTGTCACATTTATATGTTCATTTCATTCTCACTAAACTGTCTTTGATGAGGCAGAATGCAGTGTTTTGATTGGCCCATAACTATATGGTGATGATGTGATGCGACAACGTCACACAGTTTGAATTAAAGTTGCAGATGCAGCATCCCAAATGCCAGTAATGTAAAATAGGTTTTGATCAGTCAAAAACCAATGCTATTTGTATTTTCAGTTAAACTGCTGAGGCCGTTTGTAGTGATAGTGGTCTTAAGGATATTTACCATTATGTTGGAACTCTGGGTCTCTGAGCATCCCCTGGATGCGGTTAACAGGTGGAGGGACGGCGGCGTGTGGTCGTCCGCTGGTGGTGCGTTTACGGGAGGGTTTGGCCTCTGGTGGAGGATCAGGGGGGTTCTCTGGAGAGGTCTCCCCCGACCAGGAGTCCTCTCTCAGGGGGAGGGGGTCCACAGTGGTCACCCCTGCTGCTGGAGAGGAAAGGGGCTGGTTCCGCTCCTCATTCTGATAGAGACACAACATCAGATTCACTAACTAACAAGACTAGAGGCACCTATAACAACAGATATACTCCCCCCAAAAAAATAGCATTGACAAAACATAAGGCATACAACCAGCCAAGTAAAAATGTTCTTATCTTAGTCGAAACACTAGCAAATACAATCAATCAATCAAATCGATTTTATAAAGCTTTTTATATCAGCACAGCAGTTATCACAACGTGCTTTTACAGTAACCCTGCCTATAAATACTAGATGTATCTTCTCCTTACAGTAACCCTGCCTATAAATACTAGATGTATCCTCTCCTTACAGTAACCCTGCCTATAAATACTAGATGTATCCTCTCCTTACAGTAACCCTGCCTATAAATACTAGATGTATCTTCTCCTTACAGTAACCCTGCCTATAAATACTAGATGTATCTTCTCCTTACAGTAACCCTGCCTATAAATACTAGATGTATCTTCTCCTTACAGTAACCCTGCCTATAAATACTAGATGTATCTTCTCCTTACAGTAACCCTGCCTATAAATACTAGATGTATCCTCTCCTTACAGTAACCCTGCCTATAAATACTAGATGTATCTTCTCCTTACAGTAACCCTGCCTATAAATACTAGATGTATCTTCTCCTTACAGTAACCCTGCCTATAAATACTAGATGTATCTTCTCCTTACAGTAACCCTGCCTATAAATACTAGATGTATCTTCTCCTTACAGTAACCCTGCCTATAAATACTAGATGTATCTTCTCCTTACAGTAACCCTGCCTATAAATACTAGATGTATCTTCTCCTTACAGTAACCCTGCCTATAAATACTAGATGTATCTTCTCACCAAGGAGAAGCTCTTCCCACTATCCCAATATCCAGTGGTGTAGTTGGTACCTGTCTGGCTGCTCGTTGTGGGGAGTCCAGAGAGAGGTGTTTAAAGGGGGGACGGGGTTTACCCAACGGAGGTTCACTTCTCCTCACCCGACCATCAGCCTCCTTCATCTTAGGAGGAGACACCAGGATAGCACCTCCTGACAGACAACAGACAAAGGGTTATCACATTTAAACCTCTGGCGATCAATAACGTTTTTTTTTTCTTCAATTCAACACAGAACAGAAGTAATGAACCATGCTTTGAACTTTACTGTCATATGACTGTAATAATAATAATATAATATGCCATTTAGCAGACGCTTTTATCCAAAGCGACTTACAGTCATGCGTGCATACATTTTTGTGTATGGGTGGTCCCGGGGATCGAACCCACTACCTTGGCGTTACAAGCGCCGTGCTCTACCAGCTGAGCTACAGAGGACCACACCACTGTGATATGTGGTTGTTTTTCTACTAAACTGAATGGTACTGTCTGTAAAATGCTCTGGATAAGAGTATCTGTTAAATGACTCACTTGTCATGTAAAATGTAGAAAATAGTGAGTTTGGTGTATAATATTGACCTGACCCATGACTGAACTGTGATTTGTCTGTGAAGATCAGAGGTTTTGAGAAAGTGTAGGCTGGATGCAAGCTACGGTGGGAAGATGACGAGTCTGACGTTGGTTTGTTTCCACTATCACCTAGTTCATGGTCATGGTGAAACTGCCTCAACACAGTAGTTAGTTGGTTTGTTTCCACTATGACCTGGTTCACATTGCCCCTGGAGACAAACTGGGCCGGACCAAACACTGCCCCTGGAGGCCCCTGGAGACAAACTGGGCCGGACCACACACTGCCCCTGGAGGCCCCTGGAGATAAACCCAGACTGGGCCGGACCACACACTGCCCCTGGAGGCCCCTGGAGATAAACCCAGACTGGGCCGGACCACACACTGCCCCTGGAGGCCCCTGGAGATAAACCCAGACTGGGCCGGACCACACACTGCCCCTGGATAAATGTATTTGATTGTTTTTGTACCAGTAACCCCTCTCAAAAAAAAAAAAATTGAATACAAAGTTGGTCACAAAAACTAAAAATATAGAAAAAAATATGTCAACAATATATTTGCTAGGTTACCAGTGGCTGGAGTCGTCAGGTCGTGGTGAGTTCTCTGAACAGTAGCGATCCTTTGCAGTGTGGGGGTGGGCATCCTACCATCCTCTCTGGAGCTGTGGGAGACTGCTACAGACGACGGACGCAGATGGTCCAGAACCCTCAGCCTAGAACACAGACAGACAGACAGACAGACAGATAGACAGGCAGGCAGGCAGGCAGGCAGGCAGGCAGGCAGGCAGGCAGGCAGGCAGGCAGGCAGACAGACAGGCAGGCAGGCAGGCAGGCAGGCAGGCAGACAGACAGACAGACAGACAGACAGACAGACAGACAGACAGACAGACAGACAGACAGACAGACAGACAGACAGACAGACAGACAGACAGACAGACAGACAGACAGACAGACAGACAGACAGACAGACAGACTGTGATGAGTGTGATCAAATGAGTCAGGCGCAGGAGGGAAATCCCCGAATGCAGAGTTTATTCAGTCGTACACAAAAGCACTGGATAGCGACAAAAACGAAACAGGGTAAATACAATGTAACGATAGCTCCAACAATAAACAGGCACAGGGGAAATATCTACCCTGGTAAATACAATGTAACGATAGCTCCAACAATAAACAGGCACAGGGAAAATATCTACCCTGGTAAATACAATGTAACGATAGCTCCAACAATAAACAGGCACGGGGGAAATATCTACCCTGGTAAATACAATGTAACGATAGCTCCAACAATAAACAGGCACAGGGGAAATATCTACCCTGGTAAATACAATGTAACGATAGCTCCAACAATAAACAGGCACAGGGGAAATATCTACCCTGGTAAATACAATGTAACGATAGCTCCAACAATAAACAGGCACAGGGGAAATATCTACCCTGGTAAATACAATGTAACGATAGCTCCAACAATAAACAGGCACAGGGAAAATATCTACCCTGGTAAATACAATGTAACGATAGCTCCAACAATAAACAGGCACGGGGGAAATATCTACCCTGGTAAATACAATGTAACGATAGCTCCAACAATAAACAGGCACGGGGGAAATATCTACCCTGGTAAATACAATGTAACGATAGCTCCAACAATAAACAGGCACAGGGGAAATATCTACCCTGGTAAATACAATGTAACGATAGCTCCAACAATAAACAGGCACGGGGGAAATATCTACCCTGGTAAATACAATGTAACGATATCTCCAACAATAAACAGGCACAGGGGAAATATCTACCCTGATAAATACAATGTAACGATATCTCCAACAATAAACAGGCACGGGGGAAATATCTACCCTGATAAATACAATGTAACGATATCTCCAACAATAAACAGGCACGGGGGAAATATCTACCCTGGTAAATACAATGTAACGATAGCTCCAACAATAAACAGGCACGGGGGAAATATCTACCCTGGTAAATACAATGTAACGATATCTCCAACAATAAACAGGCACAGGGGAAATATCTACCCTGATAAATACAATGTAACGATATCTCCAACAATAAACAGGCACGGGGGAAATATCTACCCTGATAAATACAATGTAACGATATCTCCAACAATAAACAGGCACGGGGGAAATATCTACCCTGGTAAATACAATGTAACGATAGCTCCAACAATAAACAGGCACGGGGGAAATATCTACCCTGGTAAATACAATGTAACGATATCTCCAACAATAAACAGGCACAGGGGAAATATCTACCCTGATAAATACAATGTAACGATATCTCCAACAATAAACAGGCACGGGGGAAATATCTAACCTGGTAAATACAATGTAACGATAGCTCCAACAATAAACAGGCACAGGGGAAATATCTACCCTGGTAAATACAATGTAACGATATCTCCAACAATAAACAGGCACGGGGGAAATATCTACCCTGGTAAATACAATGTAACGATAGCTCCAACAATAAACAGGCACGGGGGAAATATCTACCCTGGTAAATACAATGTAACGATATCTCCAACAATAAACAGGCACAGGGGAAATATCTACCCTGGTAAATACAATGTAACGATATCTCCAACAATAAACAGGCACAGGGGAAATATCTACCCTGGTAAATACAATGTAACGATATCTCCAACAATAAACAGGCACAGGGGAAATATCTACCCTGGTAAATACAATGTAACGATATCTCCAACAATAAACAGGCACAGGGGAAATATCTACCCTGGTAAATACAATGTAACGATAGCTCCAACAATAAACAGGCACGGGGGAAATATCTACCCTGGTAAATACAATGTAACGATAGCTCCAACAATAAACAGGCACAGGGGGAAATATCTACCCTGGTAAATACAATGTAACGATAGCTCCAACAATAAAACAGGCACGGGGGAAATATCTACCCTGGTAAATACAATGTAACGATATCTCCAACAATAAACAGGCACGGGGGGAACTATCTACCCTGGTAAATACAATGTAACGATATCTCCAACAATAAACAGGCACGGGGGAAATATCTACCCTGGTAAATACAATGTAACGATAGCTCCAACAATAAACAGGCACGGGGGAAATATCTACCCTGGTAAATACAATGTAACGATAGCTCCAACAATAAACAGGCACAGGGGAAATATCTACCCTGATAAATACAATGTAACGATATCTCCAACAATAAACAGGCACGGGGGAAATATCTACCCTGGTAAATACAATGTAACGATAGCTCCAACAATAAACAGGCACAGGGGAAATATCTACCCTGATAAATACAATGTAACGATATCTCCAACAATAAACAGGCACGGGGGAAATATCTACCCTGGTAAATACAATGTAACGATAGCTCCAACAATAAACAGGCACGGGGAAATATCTACCCTGGTAAATACAATGTAACGATAGCTCCAACAATAAACAGGCACAGGGGAAATATCTACCCTGGTAAATACAATGTAACGATATCTCCAACAATAAACAGGCACGGGGGAAATATCTACCCTGGTAAATACAATGTAACGATAGCTCCAACAATAAACAGGCACGGGGGAAATATCTACCCTGGTAAATACAATGTAACGATAGCTCCAACAATAAACAGGCACAGGGGAAATATCTACCCTGGTAAATACAATGTAACGATATCTCCAACAATAAACAGGCACGGGGGAAATATCTACCCTGGTAAATACAATGTAACGATATCTCCAACAATAAACAGGCACGGGGGAAATATCTACCCTGGTAAATACAATGTAACGATAGCTCCAACAATAAACAGGCACGGGGGAAATATCTACCCTGGTAAATACAATGTAACGATAGCTCCAACAATAAACAGGCACGGGGGAAATATCTACCCTGGTAAATACAATGTAACGATAGCTCCAACAATAAACAGGCACAGGGGAAATATCTACCCTGGTAAATACAATGTAACGATAGCTCCAACAATAAACAGGCACGGGGGAAATATCTACCCTGGTAAATACAATGTAACGATAGCTCCAACAATAAACAGGCACGGGGGAAATATCTACCCTGGTAAATACAATGTAACGATATCTCCAACAATAAACAGGCACAGGGGAAATATCTACCCTGGTAATACAATGTAACGATAGCTCCAACAATAAACAGGCACAGGGGAAATATCTACCCTGGTAAATACAATGTAACGATAGCTCCAACAATAAACAGGCACAGGGGAAATATCTACCCTGGTAAATACAATGTAACGATAGCTCCAACAATAAACAGGCACAGGGGAAATATCTACCCTGGTAAATACAATGTAACGATAGCTCCAACAATAAACAGGCACGGGGGAAATATCTACCCTGGTAAATACAATGTAACGATAGCTCCAACAATAAACAGGCACGGGGGAAATATCTACCCTGGTAAATACAATGTAACGATATCTCCAACAATAAACAGGCACAGGGGAAATATCTACCCTGGTAAATACAATGTAACGATAGCTCCAACAATAAACAGGCACAGGGGAAATATCTACCCTGGTAAATACAATGTAACGATATCTCCAACAATAAACAGGCACGGGGGAAATATCTACCCTGGTAAATACAATGTAACGATATCTCCAACAATAAACAGGCACGGGGGAAATATCTACCCTGGTAAATACAATGTAACGATATCTCCAACAATAAACAGGCACAGGGGAAATATCTACCCTGGTAAATACAATGTAACGGTAGCTCCAACAATAAACAGGCACAGGGGAAATATCTACCCTGGTAAATACAATGTAACGATAGCTCCAACAATAAACAGGCACAGGGGAAATATCTACCCTGGTAAATACAATGTAACGATAGCTCCAACAATAAACAGGCACAGGGGAAATATCTACCCTGGTAAATACAATGTAACGATAGCTCCAACAATAAACAGGCACGGGGAAATATCTACCCTGGTAAATACAATGTAACGATAGCTCCAACAATAAACAGGCACTGGGGAAATATCTACCCTGGTAAATACAATGTAACGATAGCTCCAACAATAAACAGGCACAGGGGAAATATCTACCCTGGTAAATACAATGTAACGATAGCTCCAACAATAAACAGGCACAGGGGAAATATCTACCCTGGTAAATACAATGTAACGATAGCTCCAACAATAAACAGGCACGGGGGAAATATCTACCCTGGTAAATACAATGTAACGATAGCTCCAACAATAAACAGGCACAGGAGAAATATCTACCCTGGCAAATACAATGTAACGATAGCTCCAACAATAAACAGGCACAGGGGAAATATCTACCCTGGTAAATACAATGTAACGATATCTCCAACAATAAACAGGCACAGGGGAAATATCTACCCTGGTAAATACAATGTACAAGGAGCTCCACCGAGCTACACTACTCTCACAATGAACAATCACCCACAAGGACAAGGGGGCAGAGGGAACACTTATACATGGACTAATGAGGGGATAAGAACCAGGTGTGTGTGATTGACAAGACAAGACCAATGGAGTGATGATAAATGGAGCGGCAGTGGCTAGTAAGCCGGTGACGACGAACGCCGAAACCTGCCCGAGCAAAGAGGAGGGGCAGCCCCGGCGGAATTCGTGACACAGACAGAATCACAGTGTGTTGAATCAACATGCAGTGAGGCAACGCAACTCTGTGGTCTCTAAAAATGGTAGCTCCTGAAAAAAGTAACAAAATGATGACTGTCATCAATATGGATAAAAAACAGAGTGGAGGTAACAGAACTGACCGTCTCCAATATGGATAAAAACAGAGTGGAGGTAACACAACTGACCGTCTCCAATATGGATAAAAACAGAGTGGAGGTAACAGAACTGACCGTCTCCAATATGGATAAAAACAGAGTGGAGGTAACAGAACTGACCGTCTCCAATATGGATAAAAACAGAGTGGAGGTAACAGAACTGACCGTCTCCAATATGGATAAGAACAGAGTGGAGGTAACACAACTGACCACTCAGTGAAAGCAGAAATCAACTGGAAATGGAGAAGGAATGAAACATACTCATCCTTTCTCTCAACTTTTCTCTCCTTCTCCTCTTCTTCCTCTCTGTTCTCCTCCTCCTCCTCCTCCCCCGGTCCACCCCCAGCCCCTGTCTCCTCCTCCTCCTCCCCCCCTCCACCCCCAGCCCCTGTCTCCTCCTCCCAGGCTAGTCTCCTCTGAACAGGCAGGGTGGGGGTTCCAGGGTCAGGCTGACCAGGGGGGCCTGCTGTGTCCCCAGCCCCCCTGGTGGAGTTCCTTCTGCTGGACACGGGGGTGAGGGAGGCAGGGGGTCCGGCTTTGTAGCTGGAGCTACTGTCAACCCTACAGACACACAGGGAGAGGAGGAGGGAGAGGGACACACAGTGAACATGACCTTAATAGGTCAGATCTATTATAACCCCAATATAGGACTCTCAGCATTAGAGTTTAGGTGGGGCAACCACCCAGCTAGCTCTGCGGCTTCTACCCAGAAATATGTGGCTCTGCTTCTAAGTCAAATCACTTGGCTACACTTGATTTCAATTTAATTCTACGCCTGCAGAGGCCCGATTTTGAGGCCTAAAGTTGCATCCCATCTACGGGAAACCCTGAGACAGACAGACTACTTCATCCAACCCAAACTTAAAGACATGCTAATGTCATGCTATAGCCAGCTCTGTGGTCTCTCTCTCCCCTCACCTAGCGAGGTCCAGAGCCTGGATGGTAGGGCTCCCGCTGTGGTCCTCCCCGTCCCCTGACCCTGTCCCAGAGGTGAGGTCGGAGGACGAAGGGGTGGAGGCTTCCCACAGCTGGTTCTGGTCCGACAGGATCTGGTTGAAGTGGAGACGGGAGAAATGGGTCCCCCACGCCCTCTGTCTGTAGGTCTCCGCCTTCTCACGAAGCTCTCGCACCTGGGAGGATTGATTGATTGGTTGGTTGACTGATAGCAGGCTGCTCCGGCCAGAAAGTTGGATAGGGCTCAGTCACAACACAGCTTCTTTATGTTCTATAGGTGGAACCTAGCCTGGTGCCAGTGTGTTTCTGCTCTCTTGTCAACTAACTCATGGAATCATCATACCAAACATGTTTGGCTTGACAATGACAGAAATGGAGTCGGCAAGAGCACAAACTGACCTTGGACCAGGCTATATGGTTTAAATCCAGTTCCTGAAGAACTTCATATGAATACTGTACATAAGCATTTCAAGCACATTAACAGAACATGGCAGGGAGCCTTGCATTATCTGTGGCATCACATTAACAGCACATGGCAGGGAGCCTTGCAGGATCTGTGGCATCACATTAACAGAACATGGCAGGGAACCTTGCAGGATCTGTGGCATCACATTAACAGCACATGGCGAGGGAACCTTGCAGTATCTGTGGCATCACATTAACAGCACATGGCAGGGAACCTTGCAGTATCTGTGGCATCACATTAACAGAACATGGCAGGGAACCTTGCAGGATCTGTGGCATCACATTAACAGAACATGGCAGGGAACCTTGCAGGATCTGTGGCATCACATTAACAGAACATGGCAGGGAACCTTGCAGTATCTATGGCATCAGAAGCAAAGGCGGCAGACCAATGTTTACTTGTCGTTTTTTTAGCTACACAGTCAACTTCCCTCTGATACTGATCACTAAATCAGTGCTCTGTGAGTAAACGCTTTTCCTGATACTGATCATAGGTGTGTGGTAGAGAGAGTTTCTAGACAGTTGAAAGTGTTATCAATAGCTTTAAGACATCCACAATGATGCAACAGATGACTGAGAAGCAGACTCAAGCCACATGTTCTCTTTCATGCACACAAGAAAAGCCAGGGCACGACACAACACACACGGGCTGGCACCTGGACCCGGGCTGGCACCTGGACCCAGGGCACGACACAACACACACTGGGCTGGCACCTGGACCCAGGGCACGACACAACACACACTGGGCTGGCACCTGGACCCGGGCTGGCACCTGGACCCGGGCTGGCACCTGGACCCAGGGCACGACACAACACACACTGGGCTGGCACCTGGACCCGGGCGGCACCTGGACCCGGGCTGGCACCTGGACCCAGGGCACGACACAACACACACTGGGCTGGCACCTGGACCCAGGGCACGACACAACACACACTGGGCTGGCACCTGGACCCAGGCACGACCACAACACACACTGGGCTGGCACCTGGACCCAGGGCACGACACAACACACACTGGGCTGGCACCTGGACCCAGGGCACGACACAACACACACTGGGCTGGCACCTGGACCCAGGGCACGACACAACACACACTGGGCTGGCACCTGGACCCAGGGCACGACACAACACACACTGGGCTGGCACCTGGACCCAGGGCACGACACAACCACACACTGGGCTGGCACCTGGACCCAGGGCACGACACAACACACACTGGGCTGGCACCTGGACCCAGGGCACGACACAACACACACTGGGATGGCACCCTGGACCCAGGGCACGACACAACACACACTGGGCTGGCACCTGGACCCAGGGCACGACACAACACACCTGGGCTGGCACCTGGACCCAGGGCACGACACAACACACACTGGGCTGGCACCTGGACCCAGGGCACGACACAACACACACTGGGCTGGCACCTGGACCCAGGGCACGACACAACACACACTGGGCTGGCACCTGGACCCAGGGCACGACACAACACACACTGGGCTGGCACCTGGACCCGGGCTGGCACCTGGACCCGGGCTGGCACCTGGACCCGGGCTGGCACCTGGACCCAGGGCACGACACAACACACACTGGGCTGGCACCTGGACCCAGGGCACGACACAACACACACACTGGGCTGGCACCTGGACCCAGGGCACGACACAAACACACACTGGGCTGGCACCTGGACCCAGGGGCACGCCAACACAACACGACACCACTGGGCTGGCACCTGGACCCAGGGCACGACACAACACACACTGGGCTGGCACCTGGACCCAGGGCACGACACAACACACACTGGGCTGGCACCTGGACCCAGGGCACGACACAACACACACCGGGCTGGCACCTGGACCCAGGCTGCCTCCTAAATGGCCCTCTGTTCCTTATATAGCAGGACCCATAGGGCTCTGGTCAAAAGTATTACACTATATAGGGCATAGAATGATAAGACTGGTAAACTGATAGACTGGTAGACTGATAAGACTGATAAGACTGGTAGACTGATAAGACTGATAAGACTGGTAGACTGATAAGACTGATAAGACTGATAAGACTGGTAAACTGATAGACTGGTAGACTGATAAGACTGATAAGACTGGTAAACTGATAGACTGGTATAATGATAAGACTGGTAAACTGATAGACTGGTAGATGTAGACTGATAAGACTGGGTAAACTGATCGATGTGACTTGAATGATAGACTGGTAGCAACTGAAAGATGATAAGACTGGTAAACTGATAGACTGGTAGACTGATAGATGATAAGACGATAAGACTGATAGATGGTAAACTGATGACTGGTAGAATGATAAGCTGGTAAATCTGAGAGACGTAGCTGAAAGATTGGTTTAAAACTGGTAGGACGTTGAGAATGATTAATACTGGTAGCTGTTTAAGACTGGTAGACTGGTTGACTGGTCGACTGGTTGAGTGGTAGACTGATAAGACTGGTTTGGTAGACTGATATATTGATAGCTAGCAGGACTTTGGATAAGGGTTGACCTTAATTACTTTTCAACAGAATCAATTAGAGGTGGGTTACACTGAAATTCCACAGGAAATCCTCCTTCAGCTGAAAAACAAACATCTCTTTATGTCCTCATTGATTTCCTCAATCAGACTAGAGCTCACCTGAAATGGCTTTGAGCCCAATCCTGGAGTGGAACATCAGATCAATCAGACTAGAGCTCCCCTGAAATGGCTTTGAGCCCAATCCTGGAGTGGAACATCAGATCAATCAGACTAGAGCTCCCCTGAAATGGCTTTGAGCCCAATCCTGGAGTGGAACATCAGATCAATCAGACTAGAGCTCCCCTGAAATGGCTTTGAGCCCAATCCTGGAGTGGAACATCAGATCAATCAGACTAGAGCTCCCCTGAAATGACTTTGAGCCCAATCCTGGAGTGGAACATCAGATCAATCAGACTAGAGCTCCCCTGAAATGACTTTGAGCCCAATCCTGGAGTGGAACATCAGATCAATCACTATAGCCCAACTAATGGTCCTAATAATCCCTTCGTTTTTATTGGTGTGTATTGAACTACTTTACTTAGAATACAATGGCAATCATTTCCTAGAATGCTCTTCTGCATCTTGGCTATATTTAGTACATTTCCATGAAGTTTATGGGCCAGGTTTCTATGTACCGTACAAGGCAAGGTACGGTTAACCAGTCAGCATATTCAGGTTGAATGGAAACAAGAACGTCATCTAACCAACCTCCTGCTGACTCACTGTACTGACGCTGACACTGCCTGATACACACACACACACACACACACACACACACACACACCACCGTGCTCTCACACACACACACACACACACACACCGTGCTCTCACACACACACACACACACACACCGTGCTCTCACACACACACACACACACACACACACACACACACACACACACACCGTGCTCTCACACACACACACACACACACCGTGCTCTCACACACGCACGCACACACACCGTGCTCTCACACACGCACGCACACACACACACACACACACACACTGTGCTCTCACACACACACACACACACACACCACACACACACACACACACACACACACACACACACACACACCACACACACACACACACACACACACACACACACACCGTGCTCTCACACACGCACGCACACACAGAAACGCGCACGCACACTCACAATTCATATTTTCAGCAACCTATCAGAGTAACAATCTCAGGCCTAGATATCAGGTATGGAGCCTTTCTGAAACTCAACAATCTCAGGCCTAGATATCAGGTATGGGGCCTTTCTGAATCTCAACAATCTCAGGCCTAGATATCAGGTATGGAGCCTTTCTGATTCTCAACCATCTCAGGCCTAGATATCAGGTATGGAGCCTTTCTGAATCTCAACCATCTCAGGCCTAGATATCAGGTATGGGGCCTTTCTGAATCTCAACCATCTCAGGCCTAGATATCAGGTATGGAGCCTTTCTGAAACTCAACAATCTCAGGCCTAGATATCAGGTATGGGGCCTTCCTGAATCTCAACAATCTCAGGCCTAGATATCAGGTATAGGGCCTTTCTGAATCTCAACAATCTCAGGGCTAGATATCAGGTTGGAGCCTTCTGAATCTCAAACAATCTCAGGCCTAGATATCAGGTATGGGCCTTTCTGAAACTCAATGATCTCAGGCCTAGATATCAGGTATGGAGCCTTTCTGAAACTCAACAATCTCAGGCCTAGATATCAGGTATGGGGCCTTTCTGAATCTCAACGATCTCAGGCCTAGATATCAGGTATGGAGCCTTTCTGAATCTCAACAATCTCAGGCCTAGATATCAGGTATGGAGCCTTTCTGAATCTCAACAATCTCAGGCCTAGATATCAGGTATGGAGCCTTTCTGAAACTCAACAATCTCAGGCCTAGATATCAGGTATGGAGCCTTTCTGAAAACTCAACAATCTCAGGCCTAGATATCAGGTATGGAGCCTTTCTGAAACTCAACAATCTCAGGCCTAGATATCAGTATGGAGCCTTTCTGAAACTCAACAATCTCAGGCCTAGATATCAGGTATGGAGCCTTTCTGAAACTCAACAATCTTAGGCCTAGATATCAGGTATGGAGCCTTTCTGAAACTCAACAATCTTAGGCCTAGATATCAGGTATGGAGCCTTTCTGAAACTCAACAATCTCAGGCCTAGATATCAGGTATGGAGCCTTTCTGAAACTCAACAATCTCAGGCCTAGATATCAGGTATGGAGCCTTTCTGAAAACTCCACAATAGCTAGATATCAGGGCCTTTGAACCACTCAACAATTAGGCCTAGATATCAGGTATGGCGCCTTTCTGAATCTCAACAATCTCAGGCCTAGATATCAGTGTATGGGGCCTTTCTGAAACTCAACAATCTCAGGCCTAGATATCAGGTATGGAGCCTTTCTGAAACTCAACCATCTCAGGCCTAGATATCAGGTATGGAGCCTTTCTGAAACTCAACCATCTCAGGCCTAGATATCAGGTATGGAGCCTTTCTGAATCTCAACAATCTCAGGCCTAGATATCAGGTAAGGAGCCTTTCTGAAACTCAACAATCTCAGGCCTAGATATCAGGTATGGAGCCTTTCTGAATCTCAACAATCTCAGGCCTAGATATCAGGTAAGGAGCCTTTCTGAAACTCAACAATCTCAGGCCTAGATATCAGGTATGGAGCCTTTCTGAAACTCAACCATCTCAGGCCTAGATATCAGGTATGGAGCCTTTCTGAAACTCAACAATCTCAGGCCTAGATATCAGGTATGGAGCCTTTCTGAAACTCAACCATCTCAGGCCTAGATATCAGGTATGGAGCCTTTCTGAAACTCAACAATCTCAGGCCTAGATATCAGGTATGGAGCCTTTCTGAAACTCAAACATCTCAGGCCTAGATATCAGGTAGGAGCCTTTCTGAAACTCAACAATCTCAGGCCTAGATATCAGGTATGGAGCCTTTCTGAATCTCAACAATCTCAGGCCTAGATATCAGGTAAGGGAGCCTTTCTGAAACTCAAACAATCTCAGGCCTAGATATCAGGTATGGAGCCTTTCTGAACTCAACAATCTCAGGCCTAGATATCAGGTATGGAGCCTTTCTGAAACTCAAAAATCTCAGCCTAGATATCAGGTATGGAGCCTTTCTGAAACTCAACAAACTCAGGCCTAGATATCAGGTATTGGACCTTTTTGAATAACTCCTTCCCAGGTAAAATATCAGGTATTGGCTTTCCTGAAACTCACATCTGTCTGGGGTAAATTAACAGGAGGGACCCTTTTAAAACTCAACTCTCCCTAGATATGAATGGAGCCTTTAACAAACAATGGAACTCTTACCCAATGAAATTGTTGTAAAAGTGGATACCTGATTTTCCTCATACCCTCACAGTTGGGTGGAAAGTTAGAGAGGAATGGTCTTCCACGAAGAGAAAAACAGTACAAAACCAGACCATTTCCATCTGGTAAAAATGTACTATTAACTTCCGACCTCCCCCTGAAAGGAATAAAAGAATAACTACACTGACCGTCCTCTCCTACTGTGGTAGAAGAAACACTGGAATAACTAGCACTGACCTCGTCTCCTACTGTGTAGACACTGTAATAACTACCTGACCTCCGCTCCTACTGTGTAGCCACTGTAAGAACTACACCTGACCCTCCTCTCCTACTGTGGGTAGACACTGTAATACTAACTACACTGAACCCCTCCCCTCCTACTGTGGTAATAACTGTAATACACTACACTGACCTCGTCTCCTACTGTGGTAGAAAACTGTAAATAACTACACTGACCTCCTCTCCTACTGTGGTACACACTGTAATAACTACAACTGACCCCTCCTCTCCACTGGGTAGACACGGTAATAACTTACACTGACCCTCCTCTCCTACTGTGGTAACCGTAATAACTAACTGACCTCCTCTCCTACTGTGGTAGGAACACTGTAATAACTACACTGACCTCCTCTCCTACTGTGGTTAAACACCTGTAAATAAACTACACTGACCTCGTCTCCTACTGTGGTAGACACTGTAATAACTACACTGACCTCCTCTCCTACTGTGGTAGACACTGTAATAACTACACTGACCTCTCCTACTGTGGTAGACACTGTAATCACTAAACTGAACATCCTCCCTACTGTGGTAGACACTGTAATAACTACCACTGACCTCTCTCCTACTGTGGTAGACACTGTAATAACTACACTGACCTCCTCTCCTACTGTGGTAGACACTGTTAATAACT